TGGGGCTGCTCCCACCTCCTGATGGATAGCGGAGAGGAGCGGTAGGGCAGATGCCGTGCTTGGGGCTGCTGGGGGCTGCTGGACCAGGTCTGGACCACCCCCTGGCAGTGGTATTCCAGTTTTCTGATGAAGCCCCTGAGCTGACATCCTGGGGGGGTCACTCCCACCACCTGAAAGATGGTTGAGGGGACGGGGAGGATGGTACTCGGGGGGGCTACTGGGGGGACCGCTCACGCTTCCCCCAGGCAGCAGCTGTTGGTCTGTCAGACAATTTCTGCAGGCCAAGACCATAGGGGGGCCGCTCCCACCTCCTAGAGGAGGGGGAGGGCAGCGGGGAGGCCTGGGGGGACCCGGGGCGGCCAGGCCTGTCATGCTGGGGCAGCCACTGCCGTCCTTTGACAGATGGTGGAGGGGAGGAAGAGGGCAGTGGGGGTGCCTGAGGAGGCAATTCCCGTCCCCTGAAGGATCGTGGAGGGGAACGGGAAGGTGGTGACCGTGCCTGGGGAGGTGGGGGGCTGCCGGGCCGGTCACTCTTCCCCCAGGCAGCGGCTGTCCTGTGGGACAGTTTCCCCGAGTCTGCACTCTGTGGGGATTTCTGCCACCCTCTGACAGATGGTGGAGGGGGTGGGGAGGGCAGAGGTGGTGCTGGGGGGAGCTGGGGGCTGCTGGACCTGGACTGTTTCCCCGTGGCAGCGGTTTTCCAGGTGTCTGATGATGCCCCCGAGCTGCCACCCTGGGGGGGCTGCTCCCACCTCCTAAAGGATGGTGGAGAGGAGGGGGAGGGCAGAGGTGGGGCTGGGGGGGGCTGGGGGCTGCCAGGTCTCTCAGGCTTCCCTGAGGCAGCGGCTGTCCGGGTGCCGGACGATGCCCCTGAGCCGACATGCTGAGGGGACTGCTCCCATCCCCTGAAGGATGGTGGTGGGGGACGGGGGGGCGGCGTCGATGCCCGCTGGGCCCGGGGGCCGCTGGGCCTGTCGCTCATCCCCTGGGATGCGGAGCCCAGGCCGGTGGGCCGCGGGGGCCGAGGCGGGGGTAGCTGAGCCCGGCGGCTGTCCAGCCTGGCAGGGGCCACTCTGGTGCTGCCCTGTGGCAGGCAGGCAGGTTGTTCCTGCACAGGTGGTTGGCGATGGCTCTGCCTGTCGGGCCGCTTGACGTCAGCAGACTGTTCGTCTGACTGCAAGCTGGAGCTGCTGCTATTGTCCTGTGCTTCATCAGCTGCAGCCAGGCGCCTGCGGAGAGAGGAACGTGCTGAGGGCACAGGAGAGCCCCTGCTCTCCTTCCTCAATGGCAAAGAGCCGCCCTCGGCTCCCAGCCTGTCTTGGGCCCAGCAGGAAGAATGGGCCAAAGCTGCTTTCACTAGAAATGCCTCCTGGCTCACGGTAGCCCTACAGTAAAGAGTTGGGCCGGATGAGGGTGGGGGTGAACAACAACTCACTGCTTTCTCTTCCTGCACCACCAGAAAAGAAGACAGCACAGAATCATCACTAGCAATAGGGAAACCGGGACAGATGCGGCAAGTTCCAGGTACAACTTCTGTGCATCTTTAACTTGCTCGGCGTTTGCACGTCCTTCACCATCCACACCTGGAGGAATAAAGTGGTCGTTGCTGTGTCTTGTGCCATAGCGGCAATCTTGCAGGAGCTCTGACATTGCCACAACATGCTCTTTTTCATTTTGTTGGCCTCCTGGAACAAGTGAAAATCCTCAGTCTGCAATGCTTTCCCTGATTCCAGGGGAAACAAAGGGAACTCCCAAAGGTGCTGCACATCAGTGCCCTCTGGAGCCTCTTTCTTTGCCTTTCAGCTTTGTTTATGCTCTGGCTCTGCCACGGTCCAGATCTTCCTGAGCCATGGATTTGCTCCTTCTTCTCCATCATGCTCTAAGATTTCTTTTGCACTCACCCACCCTCACCTCCTGAGGCTGGGTAGTGCTGCTACCCTTGGGACACGTTGTCTGACTAAAGAAAACTCATTAGAGCAGAAGAAGAGCGCGTGGATCTGTTTAACCAAGTGCTGCTATGAGCGACATGGACAAGAACAATTGCTGTGTCGGGCAGGGAGTGCTGCCCTGAGCTCCCCCCTCCCACTCGGAACCCACGCCTCGGGGGCAGAGTCAGGCCCTCTCCACAGGCACCTGAACCTGCCTCTCCCTTTTTGCCTTTCCCCCAGCATGGGCACAACTTGCATGCTCCTAGTTTTCTCCCCCTTATGAATTCCTGCCTGATTGTTCCTTACCTGGATTCTTCAGAAAAAAACCATAGATCCAGCTGTGTTGGGCTTTCTGGGGCTCTGACAGCACTGTGAAGAATGAGAGAAAGGCCAAGTCTCAGCATGGTGCAGGCAAAGAGGAGGCAGGACGGGAGGCTCCCTCTATGCCATTGCTCCATCTATGAGTCAGTGCATCCCTCTGGACCTCAGCTTGCAGGAGGGATCCTGCTCCAGGCTGCTGGTGTGCCAGTGTCTCACTCCAATTTATAGGAGGGAAATGAGGTTCTTTCAATATCTGTATACCCCGTGTGAGATTAAGAAACAACGGTTCATATGTTAGTCCAACCAGTTTATTATAAGTCCTAATTAGGGAGACGGGGAAGGAAAGGAGGGCGATAGAAAAGCTAGGAAAAAGCAAGAATGTCGTGAAGCGGGGATAGGATCAGGATCCAGCAGCGTCCTGCTGCACAACGTTCCGAAGGTCCGAGGCAGAAGCAGCGGGGGGGAGAGCAGCAGCGTGGAAGGCCTGGGGCAGCAACAGGTAGCAGGAAGAAGTCGCAGAGCCAGTCCAAGATGGGAAGCAGCAGGACTCAGGTAGCAGGCCCAGGAGAGTCCGTCAGCATGCAGGAATTCCGTGGTGAGGAATCTGATGGCAGAAACCCGATCCTCATGGTTTTCGATTCCTCTTTTATCCTGCTTCTTCTCCTGCCTACGTGACATCCCTGGGCGCTTGAGCAGGAGTCACACGAGTACTTCCTGAGATGGCTGTCTTGAGATAAGCCCACACAAAAGACCACTTCACAGCTATTAAGCTGCAGCTTCTCTCTCTCTCTCTCTCTCATGGCACCCGCCCTTGTCCATCTGTGACCCTCGGACAAAAGATTTCACAATCCTTGCCCAGGACTTGTCCATCAAACTTCTCCAGACAAAAGATCTCTCAGCCCCTGACCAGGACTTGCCTGAACTTGTTCGTCTGTGTCCTCAGCAAGCTTTGAGACAATGATGATGCAAAATAATAATCTCTTACAGCCAGGCGCCTCAAGGGAGGCACAGCAAACTCTGGAATGCAGGGACTGTGGCAGGGAGGTACGTTGGAGGGTCCTATTTCCTCTCCTCATCCGCTGAATGTGGCTCCCCTGGCCTTGTTCCCAAAAGGACAAAGTTCCTAAGTCCCTGGGAACTGGGTGTGATGGGATGGGAGCAACCTCTAAGCACGGCCACGGAGCTCTATGAGGGGCTTTACCTGGAGCGCCAGTCGTGTGCTTGGCCTCTGTTTCTCCCGGAGGGACATGCAGTGTGCGACGGCTGCCTCGCTGAAATGCATCCCTGTGCACAGGCTCTCCGTCTGTCTCTTTAGAAAGGAGGTAAGAGAGCGGGGCTGTAAGGAACTGCTTCTCATCAGGAAGATGGTATCTTCAGGAGGCACCAGTCCTCTAGACACATCAGTAAAGTTTAGGAATGAAGCCTGGGCTTTTTGTGGTGCACCTCATTCCTAGTCCAAACTGTGTGCCATTCTGTGACAAACTGAAGTGCTGCACGCTTTCCAGTTTGCGAGCACAGACAGCAAGACCTGTCCTGCTGGGAGACCAGCAGGTTGCAGGCAGGCTTCTTGTTCACAGTGCGCCTTGTGCGATTCTGGCAAGTTGCAAGATGATGCTACAAGCCAGTTCAGGCACAGAGGCGTCACCACCGCAGGGCTCTGATCCATCCTTTCCTGCTGTGCATGCTACACTTTCTCCATGTATCTACCTAGAAACTCAGCTTTCAGAGAACAGACAGAAAGACACCCACCACGTGCTGCCTTCTCCTTCATCATTTTCTTCAGGACACGGGAGAGCCTCTGCGGATATTTTCCAGTTTTCGATGCCTCTTTCCATTTTTTCTCAGGACCTTAACAGAAAGCATGAAAATACCTTACAGACAAAGTATTGAACTGAATGGTCTTTCTGGTGAAGTCAATAAAGACAAGAGCCACCCTGGGACGCCTGTGGGGCTCCAGCACAGGAGGCAGCCAAGGGCTTTTGCCCGGCCTTCCCTGGAGGCACTTCTGCACCCAAAGGATGAGGAGAACTTCCCATCGCACGCTGCAATCTACACAGCTGCATTACAGAGTCATGCAAGTTGCAGAGGTGCCAGGTGGGCAGTCGGCTGGCACTCAGCAGCTTTCCAGATATGCTCTCCAGGCCATGTGAAACAATCCTCAGAGACAGCATGGAACAACATTTGGGTTTTCTTACTGGACAGATCTCTGATGTCCAGAGACAAAGCCAACAGGACACTGGGAGCACGCAGCACCCACAAAACAGTGACTACCCAGGTTTCTCATGGAGTAGAAATCACTGGGCAGTGAAAAGCTGAACCCTTCCTGAACTACCACAACCACATATGAGCAGAGAGCGTGAGATGAAGGCTGGTGACTTACCCCTGGCATCCAGCCCAGGCTCAGGAACAGGACTCCGCTTTGGTAATTCACCAAGAGGACCTGCAGGCACAAA